CAGACCATCAAGCAGACCATCAAGCAGACCATCAAGCAGACCATCAAGCAGACCATCAAGCAGACCATCAAGCAGACCATCAAGCAGACCATCAAGCAGACCATCCAGCAGAACCTACAAGACTAAACGATCGCATTAAATGTAGTCTACTCGTAATTATGTGCAACGCTTCATTGGTACAAAAATGGCGTCCAATGCAGCTATAAAATACATATTGTGGTTTAAAACATGCGCAAAAATGTCATTCAAAGCATATACAAACTACGAAAAATGTCGTTTAAAGCAAATAAAAAAATTTTCGTTCAAAGCAAATACAAGAATGTCATTCAGAGCATACACAAACTACGAAAATATCGTTCAAAGCAGATACAAACATAAAAAATATAACTCAGTACTCACTGCAGTGAGTGACAGAGAGCGCATTTTCTCGTCGACGAAAACGTGGAGTCACGGACGGACAGACGGACATGGCAAGCACAATAGTTCATTTTTTTCATAAATGAGAAAATGCGCTAAAAATGTCATTCAAAGCGTTTACAAACTACGAAAATTTCATTCAAAACATATAAGAAAATGTCATTCAAAGCATATAGAAATATACGGAAATATTGTTCACGGCACACGAAGAAGCTGACTTTGAGGTGTGCAGTGCAGAGGTCCAAGAGGGCAGTGAGGGTGGCCAGGTTAGGCTGCTGCAGGTCAGGCGCCGTGGAGCGTCGGAAGGAAGGCTGCAGCAGCGGTGGTAGCCACTGGCCTACGTCAGGGTCAGGGTTACACTGCAGGTCTTCTAGGGTGGGGCCTAGCAGACGCACCGCCCCTACGCACCCTAACACAACCTGTTGTACTGTCGCGCCCGCGAAATTTCCCTTTCGTTAAATTCAATTATTTACAGCTTATAGGGATAAACTTATCGCATTGCCTTTTTTTACTTTTCACGCGACGATAGTCCTGACTCCTGCGATAATTTTGTAATTTGTAATTTCAGTTTAGAGACGGTCCTCGTCATAGCGTTATTGCTCTTGCTCGTCATTGTTCACTTTGACTTGGAAGTCGGCTGTGCTCCGCTTCATGTCTGTCCACTGTTCATTGTTCATTCACGTCTCTATGATGTAGCCGCAATCTTCGTGAGTTTTAATTCTGTGACCATCAGATAATTTGTTGCCCATTCATTTGCTATAAATTTCAGTGTTAACGATTAAGTATGCGTTTTCCTATTAAATACTCAAAGCTAGGCATTCAGTGACGTTTCATGCGCAGTACCTTGTCCAGCCATTGTTCATTCTTAGAAATTTTTATGGTTTCGATATAGAATTCGTCGAGTTAATTTTCTCTGAGTCTGTAAAGAATAGGACATATTGTAAATCATTTTTTGCAGATTACGTTGTTTAGGTTGCCACCGAAGATTTCAATAAAGTTTCACGGAAACGACTTTTGGATTAACCCACGGCGGAAAACCCTGTAGCCAGAGAACTGATGCCGTGACACGTACGATAATCAGGGTTACACAGCAGGTCTTCTAGGGTGGGGCCTAGCAGACGCACCGCCCTTACGCACCCTAACACAACCTGTCGAAAGGTAATTAGGTAATTTTAATTAAAAATGTAAATACTGAACTAACACAGTAATTGTTCTAGTGGATTTTATTACTGGCAAGCAAAATGCGCCACCCTAACAGAACCTGTCGAACGGTAATCAAGTAATTAAGTAATTTCAATTAACTATTAAAGGAAAATAATTAAATAGCACATTAATTGTTCAGCCACATTTTATTATTTAAAAGCAAAATGCACCACCATAACAGGAACTGTCGGTTTTATTATTGGTAAGCCACAGAAACCGTCTGTTGGAGTGTAATTTTCGGAGTTGAGAGGGCCAGTAGAGTGGGAGGATAGACTAAGAGTTGAGAGGGCCAGTAGAGTGGGAGGATTGACTGAGAGTTGAGAGGGCCGGTAGAGTGGGAGGATTGACTGAGAGTTGAGAGAGTTGAGAGGGCCGGTAGAGTGGGAGGATAGACAGAGAGTTGAGAGGGCCGGTAGAGTGGGAGGATAGACAGAGTTGAGAGGGCCAGTAGAGTGGGAGGAATGACAGAGTTGCGAGGGCTGGTAGAGTGGGAGGACAGACAGACAGTTGAGAGAGCCGGTAGAGTGGGAGGATAGAGAGTTGAGAGGGCCGGTAGAGTAGGAGGATAGACAGAGTAGAGAGGGCCAGTAGAGTGGGAGGAATGACAGAGTTAAGAGGGCCGGTAGAGTAGAAGGATCAAGAAAGAGTTGAGTTGGAGGATAGCCCTAAGAGTTGATAGGGACGGTAGAGTGGGAGGATAGAGTAGAGAGGGAAGATAGAGTAGAGTGGGAGGATAGAGTAGAGTGGGAGGATAGAGTAGAGTGGGAGGATAGAGTAGAGTGGGAGGATAGAGTAGAGAGGGAGGATCACCTTAAGTAGCTTGTTAAGCAGCAGCGTCTGGTGAAGCGTGAGGTCGCTGCTGTCTTGCTTCGCGTCAGCAGAAGACGAGCCAACCGCGCCGTCCTGACCCAGCAACTGTAATGCAGAACATGATGTTAATGGCCTTAATTGTGATACCTAATGGCTTTAATTGTGATAACAACATGTTCCTTAATTGTGATAACATGCTCTTTAATTGTGATGACTTGTTCCTTAATTGTGATAAAATGTTCCTTAATTGTGATGACAACATGTTTAATCAGAGAAAACATCTAGGAATATTAGTATGCCATGTTGGCTTTAAATGAAAAGTCTCAACATGGTCTGTACTTAGTGACATCGTTTAATATCGCGACGGGAAAACTGAGGATGTCAAGTGAGTGAATCAACTCAGTCTACTCGCGACGACTTCAGTCGCAAACAAGCTAGTGATGGGCTAGTCAAGTCAGTGAGCAAGCAAGTGATGGGCAGGATTACTAACGGCCTTGAGACGGACGATGTGGGTAGTGAGGTGTAGTGACGCGGCCGTAGCTTCCACCAGCGTCCAGTAACTGTGAGGATGGAACGCCACCCACAGCTTGCGGTGGTGGGCGAGGGCTGCGGTGAGGGTAGCGGCCGTGCATGCGAGTTCAGGATAAATCTGAGGGTTGGATAAAGCCTGCACCAACGCCCCGAGGTGCACGGCCGTGATGGCTATGCAACCCTCGACCCCCGACACGCCTTCACGGTAGAGGCTCTGCACGACGCACTGTAGCACCTCTGACAGCGCGCGCTGCTCTCCTGCAGCGCCTGCGTCGCACTGCGCGTAAAAAATTTAGTTTCTCAAAATTATAATAAAGATTGTAGTTTGATAAAAATGTAATCAAGATTATAGTTTCTTAAAAATATAATCAAGATTATAGTTATTAAGAATATAGGTAATCAAGATTATAGTTTCTCAAAAATATAATCAAGATAATGGTTTAGTCAAAAATATATTCAAGATTATAGTTTCTTACAAATATAATCAAGATTACAGGATAAAATAATTAATATAATTTTTTATTATACAACTAATTCAAGCAGACTAATGATATGAATTCTTTAATTATTGCAAGATATCTTATACGAAAACTATTTGTTTCTAAGCTCAAATGGTATGAAGTGAAACTAATTCAAGCAGACTAATGATATGAATTCTTTAATTATTGCAAGATATCTTATACTAAAACTATTTGTTTCTAAGCTCAAATGGTATGAAGTGATGGGAATTATCTAGCAGCTGAAATGTCACAAACCGTCAGTGCGGTCGCAGCGAGCGCAACGGAAGTAGAAAGTTGTCCGGTGTTTAGCAGCGGAGCGGAAGCTTCACTGCAGGCGAGTCTTGTCAGCAAGCGGCTTAAAATGCTGACAACTGAACTGCTGCCACTGCTGCTGACTTCTGCTCCTGACACTGACACAACCGAGGCACTGGAGGACTGACTTGCTGCTGACAAAACTGACGTGCTTGCCCCTCCGGTCTGAAGAAGGAATGCATTTACAATAAAATAATCCTATAAATCTTGAAGTGTTTTGTATTACTTTGTTTCATCTTGACAGCATCACCTGTCCACCCAGTCCTTAAACTCTGCCGTTTATTATTTATTATGGATTTTAATATTATTTGAATAGCAGCAACTAGCATGACTAAACTTATGACAATAGAGATAAAAACTAGTTAGTTAGTTCAGTGACCGTAGTTGCAAGCGCTTCAGGTCGAGCTAGAGATAAAAACTAAATAAAGATGCTAAAAGCAATTACAACCATGCAGGTAAAGATAGAATTACCTTTTTTCAAACTCAAGTTCAGATGTTTTCTTGAATCAAATAAACAAGCAAGGTCCAAAGAAAATAAAGGAACCAAAGAATCAATCAAAAACCCAAAATTGGATATCAGCTCTAATTCCCAAATCTTGACCATTTCAGAACTAATATTGATGTGATATTTCATGACAACAGAGGATGACGACAGCCAATTTGATTGTTTACAATTTAGAATTTAAGAACTGAGTAAGGAATTCTAGCTGAATTTACAACGTAGAATTAAGAACTGAGTAAGGAATTATAGCTGAATTTACAATGTAGAATCCAAGAACTGAGCAAAGAATTCTAGCTGAATTTACAATGTAGAATTAAGAACTGAGCAAAGAATTCTAGCTGAATTTACAACGTAGAATTTAAGAACTGAGCAAGGAATTCTAGCTGAACTTACAATGTAGAATTTAAGAACTGAGCAAGGAATTCTAGCTGAATTTACAATGTAGAATTTAAGAACTGAGCAAAGAATTCTAGCTGAATTTACAACGTAGAATTAAGAACTGAGCAAAGAATTCTAGCTGAATTTACAACGTAGAATTTAAGAACTGAGCAAGGAATTCTAGCTGAATTTACAACGTAGAATTTAAGAACTGAGCAAGGAATTCTAGCTGAATTTACAATGTAGAATTTAAGAACTGAGGAAGGAATTCTAACTGAATTTACAACGTAGAATTTAAGAACTGAGCAAGGAATTCTTGCTGAATTTACAACGTAGAATTTAAGAACTCTGCAAGAAATTCTAGCTGAATTTACAACGTAGAATTTTAGAACTGAGCAAGGAATTCTAGCTGAATTTTAGAACTGAGAATTCTGAGAATTTTAGAGAAGAGAATAAGAACTGAGCAAGGAATTCTAGCTGAATTTACAACGTATAATTCAAGAACTGAGCAAGGAATTCTAGCTGAATTTTAGAACTGAGAATTCTGAGAATTTTAGAGAAGAGAATAAGAACTGAGCAAAGATTTCTAGCTGAATTTACAACGTACAATTTAAGATCTCTGCAAGGATTTATTGCTGACTAATAAACAGTGCCAGCTGCCGTTTACTAACACGTATATGGACGTCAGCCGCGTGCAGCAGCGCCGCCGTCAGCACGTGTGACGAGCGCAGCATCTCGTCGACAGCTGCGTCAGGCTGCAGCAGCAGAATTGTGTGCAGCACCGAGCACGCCACTTGCAGCACCACAGCATTACTGCAGAAAGCTTCGTTTGCTGCAGGGCTGGCGAGGCTGCAGTGCTGCTCCACGATGGCTCGAGCAGCATCCAAGACAGAGCCGCTCAAATCTGAACAGGGACATTAAAATTATTATACGTACGGGACTTGTTTGAGTTTGAAGTGAATTTATATATCATTATTTCCATCAGAATTATTATGCGTACGGGACTTCATGAGGTGAATTTATATATCATTATTTCAATAAGGAAACCAAATCGTACCACTGTACAACAAATTATTCAATAGGTTAAGTATTAAAAACAGCATTTTTCATATAAAAACTACATATATACTTCACATGATATAAAATTCGCAAATATATATTATTTTAAATAAAATGTAATAGTTATAGGGTGTCAACTCCTCCCTATATAGTTACTATGATATATTATTTGTATATATACAGTGGGGGGAAATAAATATTCGTACACTTGAAAAATCGTATTTTGATGTATATAAGTACACAAACTTAACAGGAAAAGTGATTTAAATTATNCGAAGAAGTTAACATGTTGCATTAATTTTTGTTGCATTGAGATTTAATTTCTATTGATGCTATTTTTGAATACAATGCGCCTCTATACATAATATAAATCACTTCTCCTGTTCAGTTTGTGTACTTACATACATTAAAATACGATTTTTCAAGTGTACGAATATTTATTTCTCCCCACTGTATATTAAATTTTTAATAAAAATGTAATAGTTATAGGGTGTCACCCCCTACCTATATACTTACTATGATATATTATTTGCATATATATAATAAATTTTTAACAAAATGTAATAGTTATAGGGTATCACCTTGAGCACTGCGGTGCTTGTCACCATCAGCAGAGGACGCAGGAGGACGGTCGTGCAGCTGCTGCAGGTGCTGCAGCTGCTGCAGGTGCTGCAGCTGCTGCAGGTGCAGCAGCTGCTGCAGGTGCAGCAGGAGGGCAGAGAGCAGACGCACCTGTGTGGGTGCAGGTGTCTGCAGGAGGGAGGCTCTCAGGGCCTCAAGCACGCGGCCAATGGCCTCCCAGTACCAGACACCGCTGCCAAGCCTGCATGGTAGTGAGGTACCTTGGTTATCTACCACTGCTTACAAGTAGTACATTGAGGCCGTACTTTACAAAGTAGCTCAAGTGCACATAGCCTCATAAGTGAGGCTAAAAGTATCCTCATAAGTACATGTGGCCTCATAAGTGCACGTGGCCTCATAAATACATGTAGCGGCTAATTTCTTGCCTGCAATTGGTGGGTCTAGATTGAAGCGTCTTCAGTGATTGGCTGGCAGAGTTCCAAACTCTTCAACTATTTTTCATAGTCTTGCCTCTAGAGGATCAGTGCCACTAATCACTAAGAATGTCATTCAAGACAAATTTTAACGTAGCTTCCAAGCCGACGTCAGGATCTCACCCAGGCCGATGGCTAGCTAGTGTCAGCAGATCAGTCAGTGTCACTAATCATTAAGAATGTCATTCAAGACAAATTTTTAAATGAATTTAAGACAAATTTTTAACAAGACATTCTTAACAGAATGTCAGCTTCCATGCTGACGTCAGGATCTCACCCAGGACGATAGCTGGCAAGTGTCAGCAGAAGATCAGCGAGAAGGTGAGCAGCAGCCCTGAGCAGCGGCTCCTCTGGAGAGCCGAGGCATGACGTCAGCGATGTCATGGTCAGCTCACACAGCTCCCGCTGATCAAATTAAGTTAGCAATAATAATAATGTTTGTTTACTTGATCATGATTAAGTCAACAATAACAATAATGTTTGTTTACTTGCTCATGATTAAGTCAACAATAATAATAATGTTTGTTTACTTGCTCATGATTAAGTCAACAATAACAATAATGTTTGTTTACTTGCTCATGATTAAGTCAACAATAATAATAATGTTTGTTTACTTGCTCATGATTAAGTCAGCAATAATAATAATGTTTGTTTACTTG